GAGAGAATTATAGAACACCGTAAGGTATGATGTACTTAAGTGAAATATGGAACATCGTATAAAAATAATAATAAGAGTTAATATTATTATTATTATTATTATTATTATTATTATTATTATTATTATTATTATTATTATTATTATTATAGTTATTAAATATAATAATAATAAAATAAGTTTATTATAATAATGATTATATTATTATTATTATTATTATTATTATTATTATTATTATTATTATTATTATTATTATTATTATATGATACACTTAAGTTGGATTTTTTAGCTTGCAGCCCACACAAGTGGTTCTATAAATACAACACTTGTGTATAAGCTTTCAGAACTTGATGAAATTCAGTTGGTAAAATTCTGGTCGTATTTCTCTCTTTTTCTCTCTCACTCAAAGCCTTCAATCGTAGCAGCTAGCATTGAGACTGAAGAAATCTGTTTGTGTGGACTGAGTAGAGACGTTGTTCATCATACATCGTTTGTGATCACTTCTTCGATTCAGAATCAAAGGTTCCATCGCCGCTAGAGGTAACCGTTCTATCACTGATCATGACCATTTGTAAGGATCACTAAAGGGAAAATTTTATTTCCGCTGCGTTTTGGATCGCAATTTCCCTTCATAGAGGATGCATAAAGCTCTGTATGGACTTAAGCAAGCTCCAAGAGCTTAAAGTAAGAATATGAATAGCTTTCTAAGGGAGAAGAAATTTGTGAAGTGTACAATTGAGCATGAAGTATATGTAAGACGAAGCAATAATGAATTTCTTATACTATGTCTCTATGTCGATGACCGGTTGAAAACAGGAAGTTGCAAGAAGAAGATCAAAGATTTCAAACATGACATAAGTGGGGAGTTTGAAACGTAAGACTTGGGAAACCACTCATAATTCCTTGGTATCAAATTCTACAAGAATAGTAGAGGCTTGATGAAGCACCAAAGAATGTATGCAGGCGAAATAGTCAAGAGATTTGAGATGCAAGATTGCAACCCAACTTCGACTCCATCTAAGCCCAGAATGCAACTGTTGGAAGACTCATTGGATCACTTTGATAACTTTGTCACACAAGACTTGATCTAGCATACAATGTAGGTATGGTGAGTAGATTCATGTAGAAGTCAAAGATATCACACCTAGTAGTGACGAAGAAGATAATAAAGTGTCTGAAAGGAACTCTCGACTATGGCATTTTGTTTCCTACCGCTGATAAAGGAAAAGAATGCAAGTTAGTGGGATACACCGACTCAAGTTGGTGTAGTAATGCTGAGGATAGAAAATCATCAATTGGCTATGTATTTATGTTAGGTGGTGCACCAATTGCTTGAAGTTCAAGAAAGAAATTAGTAGTGACACTATCGTCATGTGAAGCAAAGTACATAGATGCTTCTCTCGATGCATGTCAAGTAACATGGATGGTGAATTTATTCGAAGAAATTACAGTGAAGAATCATAAAAAAAATTACCATGAACATCGACAACATGTCTGCTATTAACCTGGCGAAGAATCCGATAGCATATGTTCGAAACAAGCACATCGAAATGTGATTCCATTATCTTCGAGAGCAAGTAGCAGATGAGAATATAAACTTGAAATACTGCAGAATTGAGAATCAGTTGCAGATATCATGACGATGGGAGTGTTGGTTGAATTGTTCAAGAAGTTAAGGTATATGATATATATATATATATATATATATATATATATATATATATATATATATATATATATATATATATATATATATATATATATATATATATATATATATATATATATATATATATATATATATATATATATTCATATATAGCTTAGACACAATGAAGTAGGCGGTGTATTGAATTTTAATTCCTTGTGTCAAAGCAGGTTGCTCGACAGGGACAAGGAAGTTGCCGAATATGATAGTGTGTGTGTCAAAACACCTAGTTATCGAAGTGTTAAGGAGTTAACCTCGACATGAATTTTGTCTTAAACCTATTTTGTAATGTTAGTAGAATTAGATATTTTGGGTCTTTTGTTTTTGGGATTTGCTTAGGGAGCAAGCAAGACAAATCTATAAATAGGGAGTAAGCATATTATTGTAAAGTGATTCATTTGAATAAAATTGCAGTTTTGAGAGTAGATAGTTACTTTGCAGAAATTCTCTTTCTTTCCCTGTTTTAGTTTTGAATCCCTAATTTCCTTTCTTCCTAATTCAAGTTTTATATTCTTGTTTTCATCACCATTGTGCAGCAATACAATCTTACAATCAAGGTTGGTTGATTCATTCGAGTGAAGCGTGAAGAACAAGAGGGAATTAATCGGTTGGTTGAATCTTGTTCATCAAGATTGAGTCAGAATTATGTAAAGTCTTGGATTTAATTCCAACATCTGGTATCTAGAGCATTGACTGAGCGATTCGTTGAAAGCAAAATACGATGACGATAAATAATCTAAACAGACATTTTTCAGAGAGTCTCTCAATTCATAAGAGTCGGAATATGAAAATTGGTGCAAACAAATGAAGATGATTTTCTGTTATCAAGATCTTCTAAATCTTATCAAAGAAACAGTAACTAAGTTCACATCACCAAATAAAATTCAGGTGTGGTAATTATATCATTGAGCAAGATTAGTTATGAGAGTGCAAGCGAGAGTTTTTTAAGTTGCTTTTAGAGTAATCATATGTTATCATTCCTCTCCAAATACAATCATTATTATTAATAATATATAGAGATGCTTATGGTTGGATTTTTCACATAACCAATCTATAATCAATTTATAATCATTTATCATAATCGGATATTACAATCAATTCATATAAATGATATTGCTTTTACAAACTCGATTTTATAATTGATTATATCCATAACCAAATTTCATAACCGATTAGAAAATTTTTAACCGGTTTTATAGTTTATATCCGATTTTAAATTTAAAACCAATTTTAGATCTAAAAATCCGACTTTTAAAATTAAATATTATTTTTTTATAATTGGTTTTCCAGTTAAAACTGGTTTCGGGCATTATTATCCAAAAATTTTAAAATGGATTTTACCAAAACGATTTTTTTTTTTCATTTTTCTTAAAAATAAATATCATAAAAAATCATAGATCCAGACTTTTATATATATTTTTAAATATAATGTTACAAAAGCATGCATTGTGCACTTTTCATGGCTGCTGTTCTAAGACTCAACTCCAGTCACAATGTCACCAAATTAACATACTAATTCAAATTGAATCACCAAAACTATTGCAAATGTATCGTCCCTCCACATGCGAACTCATAGTTAACTCAATATTCTAAACCAATGCAAAGTTTCTTTCAATCCAAATCCAATATTTCATAAGTGATGCAATAAATAATTCCATTTAATCATGTAATCATGCGCTCCTAAATCTAACTTAAGCTAAAGAATCTTAAATAGGCGAACTTTGATTAAAACCATATTAATGATATGTTTAAATTATAAATATTTTCCAATTTCACTCTTTCATAAACATAACGAAAAGAATGGAAATAATTATATACTTAATATTAAATTACATACATATATAAAAAGAACAAACCATTGTGTTCCCTTAATACATTAAGGTCCATGAAATTATCACAAATTATTCTGCAACATTTCAACAAATAAAACAAAAAAAACCATATGAAAACTGCAAGTTGTTCAATGGATACTTAAGAAAATGTGGCAAGAAATACATATTATTATTATTCTTCAAGAATCAACTCATCCTTGAAAAAAAGAAAAAGAAATAGCCATAATATTATTATATAATAATTACTATTATATATTGTACCAATAAATGCATATATATGTTCCATGACTTGTTTGCAACATTTAACCAGTGTTTCTGGCACAATGTGTGATTCTATTGCAACCACGACGATAAGGGTTGGCCCTCTGTCTCTTCTGGCAATCATAGTAAGATTGTCCACGACGACCACATGGGATTGAGTTAGCCCTTAATGCACCATAGCTAATGTACTTTTTCCTCCCGGCGAGGGATCGACGATTTGACTCAGAATCCATCATCATCTCGTTGTCCTCGCCGATGAGATCACCCACGCTGACGGGGTTATGAAAGCTAAATTCATGAACTTTAGAAGCTTCCGCGGCTACCAAGGTGATCGCCATGGCTAGCACCAAGAAAGCAAGCCATGGCCTAATGGTTGTTGTCATGAGATAATATGATTTTTTTTGTTTGAGGGAAAGAGAAAAGAGAAAATCTCTGTGTTTATTGCCTTTGTTCCTTCTCTTCCTAGTAGATGTGAGAAATAGGAGGATAAAATAGGATACAAGTTTAAAAAATAGAATGTTTGTTGGTGGTGTTTTATTTGTGACTTAACGTGATTTTGGGTATTCTACGGTTTATTGCTCCTAAGTTTTCTCTTATATTTGGTGAATGTGGTAATGGTATTACCAATGCATAACTAATTTTGCAATGTAAGATGCTAAATTTAGCTTTGGACTCTAAAAGTGGCATACTCCAATTACTAATATAGGCTCAAAACACCTTCAAATCCATTCATCTAATTCGATCAAATGAAGGTTTTTAGATTTAATTGTTAATAATGTTCAAGAATAGAGTGGTGAGGAGTTGTCATACAACACACCATATTCTTATTACTGTTTTGCTATTTTTTTTTTAAATGTTAATTCAAATTTTAGTAGCTTATGCTTCTTTTTTTCTTCTTTATTTTATGTTTGATTATTATATAATTAAAAAGTTTAAAATAAAAATATTAATTAATGATGAAATTTGTAAATTTAAGTGAGATTTTAAATTTTAAGTCACACTCTTTTAAATTTTAATTGACACTCAAATCATCAATTATCATTCATCGTATCATTAGTGTATGATATCGTCAATTAGTTACGTAAGACTTTATGTAAAAATTTGAAGGGAAAGGGAAGAGAGAGAGAGATTAAAAAATGAATTTTTTAGTAAAACATAGAGAAATTTTAAATATTTTTTAGAAAAAGAATTTAGTTGGTGGGATGATATATATAGGTACATTTAGGGCTGGTGAAACTGCAACCATTAAGGATAAAGTACTTGAGAATGGTGATAAAATTGATAGGAATATTTTCCATCACATAGTTATTGTCAATGGAAAGGAAGGAAATAGTCCCTATGTATCCACCGTGATGTCGGATTTTGAAGGAGAGTTTGATAATTGGAAGATTTCCTTCACTCCCATTAGGGTTGGATTGTTCAATGTGCTCATTAATGAAGATCGATATAAAGTTTCTGACTCGTCGTTACATTTTCAAGTTGAACTAGGTTTAGTCAAAACCCTAACTTAAGTGGCAGAAATATAAGCACTTTCGTGTCTGTTTGAATTAGTTAGTCCATACCATGATGCTATTAGTTGAAGGGAACATGTATCCATCTGTGTGTATGGCATCATGGAAAGGGATAAAATATGAGTTTGAAGTTGGTTCTAAAGTTACAATCATGGTGCTATATGTATATACTATTAGAAATATTGTTAAAGTTGAATGGATACAGGTATGAATCGTCAATGAAATCACTTTCCTTATAATTATTTCAAGCACTCTCAAATTTCTTAGAGTTGGAACACAAGAATACCCAGGATAATTCAGCATATACTCGAGTATGCACAAGACCGACGAAAACTCGAATGTAGGGAAGAGTATCTAGAATTTTAGTGAAGAGAACGTATTTTTTTGTTTTATTTTTTTGAATCCGAAATGAAGTATTTATAGGTCATATTGGTATTGTTTAACAAGGTTGCAACTCTTGGTGAAACAACTTCCTTATACCAAGAGTTACAAGTTTTTGCCAAAAGTTAATTTTACCAAAAGTTATATTTTTTTCGCCTACAACAACATTCTTCAAGAGTTACATATTCTCATTCTACAACACTCCACAAAGTGTTTCCTATTTTTGAATTCAAAACTACTGCAACACTTCATAAGTGTTGCTTATATTTGAGTTCAAAACTAATCTTCAGTTGCATATTTTCTTGTCGTTTTGAAACACACTCGAGATTATCAATTCTTAATAATTTATAATAATCCCCCACTTTTTCTAATAATGACAAGACCAATTCCAGAAAATGAGAGGAAAAGAATATTAATAAAATTAAGAATCTTTCGATTTGAAGTAAACCTTAGTAAGGATAACACAAAGTTTAATCGGAATGTTAGGTAGCTATGCTTTGAACCATTATCTCTTGTGATTATACCAGTGTTACCTTACAGACATTCTTTAGTGGTTATTCGCCTACATCTCTCGCCTATCACTATTTATGGCCATGTGATTTTCTTGTTTTTATGAGAGAAACTCCAACTCTCACTTTGAGACGACACCATCTCAAAATTCACATAGGTGAAGTTCATATTGTATCCTTTTTCGTGACATATACCCTCGGTATTGAACTTCATTAAGAGTTTAAATAAAATTCAACCCACATCCAAATAAATGACTTGTTGTTACCCATTGAATCTTGAGGTTAATGTTCTGTTAACGTAAGATTGGGTTGCCTCCGTTGTCGGAACTCTGGCCAATGGCTTAGTAAATGGATCAAGAAGGTTATAGCTCGATCGTATATATGTCAATGATTACATCCTTAATCAATTTTATCACGAAAGAATTTCTAAGTCCTACTTGCCTAGACTTTCTGCTATACACTTTTTGTATGATTTAGTTAAAGTGGTTTGACTACCGCAATGTATCAACACCTTTGAAACATTGTCTTTAGCCAATGGAATTTCCAAAAGAAGGCCCTTCAACTATTCAGCTTCTTCACCAGCAGAAGCAAGAGCCTCGAACTCTGATTCTATGGTTGAGAGTGTGATCCACATTTATTTCTTACTCTTCCAAGAAATTGCACCCATAACTAGTGTGAATCTCCACCCAAATGCAGATTTATGATATTCAACATTCAATATTCAACTCGCATCAGTATATCCTTCTAATATGGCAGGAAATCTACCATAATGGAGACCAACATTTTGGGTTTTCATAACATAGCCTAAAATTCGAATGATGGCCTTCCGGTGCTCACCATTTGGATTACTAGTAAAATCTACTCATTTTACCAATTGCAAATGCTATGTCGGGTTTAGTATATTGCATGCACTTGCATATTCCAATTGAGCCAAAAATCTTCCATCATCCTTTTGAGGTTTTACACTAAGATCAAATGGAGTGGCTGCTTCATTAAAGCATAAGTGTTTGAACTTATCAAGCACTTTCTCAAAATAATGTGTTTGACTAAGTTCATAACTCCCACTATTTTGCTTTACTTTGATTCTCAAAAGTGTGTCAACTAGTCCAAGATCATTCATATTTAATGTGGAAGTTAGAAACATCTTTGTTTCTAAAATTTCATTCATCTTGTTGCTAATGATCAATCATATAATCAACATGTAGACAAAGGAATATCATAATATTCTCATATAAATTTTTATACAAATACTTGTAACAAGAATCAGATGAAGAATGTTTTTAGATAATCACGCATGATGGTGTAAGAAGATCTTAGATAAAGTGATAGATGAAATTATGAGTAATTTAAAGTAGTATAATATAAATTACAATGAGAACCTTAGTTATGTTCACTTGTCTCAAATATTCACTTGAATTTCTATGTTAAACCTTCTTGGTCGACTTCATCATTGATGTATAGACACTTTTGATCTTTTTCTTATTTGATAATCTTTGTCTTCATCAAAACTCAACTAGATATAAGATGTATTCCTCACAATCTTCCCCATTTGATGATGACAAAATATTTGAATTTCTGTTTTGATAATGTTTGAAAATCTCCCCTTAAATTGTGTGTCTCCTCATTAATTGGTGAATCTTGTAATGACTAAGTCAAACTATTGATGTCATTGTTTTTGGTGCTTGTTTTAATCCATACAAGGATTTGACAAGTTTCCACACCTTTTATTCATTATCAGGAAGCACATAACCTTATGGTTTCTCCATGTAAATCTCCTAATCGAGATCTTCATATTGAAATTTTGTTTGACATCCATTTTATGAACTGTAAATTCATGAAAAGAAGCTAATTTAAACGATACTCTATTTGTTGTCATCTTCTCTACTAGTGCATATGTATCAAAATAATTAACACATTCCTTTTATCTAAAAACCTTTTGGTTTGACATTATAAAGTTCATTTTGTCTCTGATAGTGTCCTTCCAAAAGGAGAAGTCATTTGAAGCTAATTCTTCTCTTTAAGTCTTAAGATCATCTTCCACTTGAAGAACAATAGGAATCTTACGAATAAAATTCTTACTATTTCCTTCCATTAGATAAAAGAAATAAATTGACTATGAATTTTTTTCATTTCTAGATCCTTAACCTTTCAGACTCTTTTACTTATTCTAAGTTCTGGTTGTTTTTTCAGCAATCCATTAATAATCTTCCTCGGGCGATTCTTCATTAGTGATGAACTTTTGATTTGTGTTTCAATAATTCGTTGAGAACCTTCCTCATGAGATTTTCAATTGTGGGAATCTCGAATTCCTTATCCTCCGTGATAAAATTCTCAAATTTTCGCATAATTACATTAGACTCTAAATTCATAAGTCTATATAAGTCATGGTCCATTTTCTCATGATCTTTATATACCTTTTAATAATAAATTTTATCAAACACAAACAATTCACATATCATATAGATCATAGTTCAAATACATATTTTAGAATTATAAACTTCAATAAATTTGATCTCTTCGATGATTAAGAAATTTCATCTTTAATAAATAATTTCAAATTAATAAAATAATAACAATATTCTCATTTCATATGATACTTCGTTTCAAAATTACTTTCAGGCTAAAATGCATCCACACCATGTTTATAACCAAATAATTGAGAATTATCAAAATAATTTTATATATATTACACAGTGGATTGAGAATTGAACAATGGTATCATGATACTTTTATAGTTTTTCCAAAATGAAAATCATCTGAATATTGGACTATTTGTCATTTTGGCATGGATTCCAACAATTTGAAAACAATGAATTTCAAACTGCTCTATTTTCTATGAGAAATAATAAAAACGTACTTGAATATATGGCGTCGATTTCTATTTGTGTTTAAAATATGTTTACGACAAGCAATTTATCTTTTGATGCTTGAAACGAAAGTGTCAGTTGTCATTATTTGAATTACTTATAAGATTGTTAGAAATGGCGGTAAAGTTGAATGGATACAGGTTTGAATCATGAACGAAATCATTTTCCTTATAAGTATTTCAAGCACTCCCACATGTATTAGAGTTGGAACACAGGAATACCCAAGATAATTAAGCCTATACTCGAGTTTGTGTTAGAAATAATTTATATTTTACTATTACATGGAGACTAAGTTTATTATAGGGTATTTTAGTACTTTAGTGTGTTGCCTTTGTGGCCCTAGTTTTTCTGTGTATAAATAGACTAGTGGTAGATGTCATTTATCATTCTTCCTTATAACTTTTGTAGCTGTCATTTGCATAGTAGAAATGTATTCTCTCATTCTATTCATTTTTTAACCTTGTGCACCAACAATTGGTATCTAGAGCTCCGGTTCAGATCCACAGGGAAACACGAGTGAAACGGTGAGGCGTTGTGTGGTTGATTTCGTTTCTTGAATTTGTGCTGAATCTTGAACAAAATCGTAACAGAATCACATTTTCTAATTCTGCGGGATTGGGAAACACTGTGTTTGGTGAGATCTGAGTGATTGCATAAGGTTGAAGGTGAACGGAAATGGTGGTCTGAGCACTAAGCTTCCAGTGTTTGATGGGAAAAACTGGACTCGTTGGATGATTCAGATGCGTGTATTGTTTGGTGCTCAAGATATGTTTGATCTTGTCACTGAAGTTTAGGTTCCAATAGTAGCAAATGCAACAGAGCAACAAAAGAACGTACAGAAAGATACGAGGAAGAAAATTAGAAAGCATTATTTTACATCCACCGGTGTGTGAATGCAAATGTGTTTGAGAAAATCGTTGATTCAATGACGGCAAAGGTTGCGTGGGATACATTAGTCAGGTGCTATGATGGTGACGTATCAATGAAGAAGATGAAGCTTCAGTCCCTATGAAAGCAGTATGAGAATCTCAACATGAAAAACAATGAGAATGTATCTGAGTACATCTCTAGAGTGATTTTGATCACTAATGAGATGAAAGCTTATAAAGAAACCCTTTTTGAACAAGTAATCATTGACAAGGTATTGAGATCCCTTACCCCTCAGTTTGATTACATTGTGGTAGCAATAGAACATTCTAAAGATCTTAGCACCATGAGAATTGAAGAGTTGCAAAGTAATCTAGAGGCACAAGAGTTACGTCTGATTGAGAGAACTTATGAAAGGGAAGTAGAGCAACAGGCTCTGAAAATAGTTTATGGTAAGAAGCATCAAAATCAATCTTGGTCAGAATTCAAGAGAAGATCTGATGGTGTTCATAAGTCAAAAACCTCAACTTCTGATAAGCAGAAGAATGCTTAGAAGGGAAAAGAGAGGTATGACAAGAAGAAGATCC